GTTCTTTCAATCTAGTTGTGGAGGGCGCAGCTCAGTGGCCCATGTGGGGATCGAACCAGCAACCTTGGTGTTAGGATCACTGTGCTCTAACCAACTGAGCCTACCAGCCACCTCCCTTTTTTTTTTTTAACTTTTTTTTAACTTATGGTAAGAACACTTAACATGAGATCTACCGTCTTAACAAAAATGTAACTGTACAATACAGTAGTGTTGACTATAGGGTACTCTGCTGTGCAGATCTCCAGAACATATTTTTCTTGCATAACTGACACTTTATACCCTTGGAATAGCAACTTGCAATTTCCCCCTTCCTCCAGCCCCTGGCAACCATCATTCTACTCCTTGTTTCTGTGAGTTTGACTCTTTTATATTCCTTATATAAGTAGCATCATGAAGTATTTGTCTCGCTGTGATGGCTTATTTCACTTAGCATAATGTCCTCCAAGTGTATGTGTTGTCCCATATGGCAGGATTTCCTTCTTTAAGGCTGAATAGCATTCCGTTTTATGGATGGATATACCACAATTTCTTTTTCCGCTCATCCATTGATGGGCATTTAGGTTGTGACCACATCTTGACTATTTGTGAGTAACACTGCACTGAACGCAGGAGTGTAAATATCTTATGGAGGTACGTATTTCAATTATTTTAGGTAATTACCCGAAGTGGGGTTACTGGATTACAGAGCAGTTCTAGTTTTAATTTTTGAGGAATCTCCATACTAGTTTCCATAGTGGCTGCACCATTTTTATATTCTCACCAATGGTACACAAGGGTTCCAATTTCTCCACTTTTTTCGCCAACACTTTTTTTTTTTTTAAATAGCCATTGTAACAAGTGTGAGGCGATATCCCATTGTGGTTTTTATTTGAATGTCCCTGATATTAAAAATATTTTCATATGCTTGTTGGCCATTGATGCCTTCTTTAGAGAAATGTCTACTCAAGTCGTTTGCCTATGTTTGTTTGTTTGCTATTAAGCTCTAGGAGTTGAATATCCAAATTTGACATTTTATAAAATAGCTCCTAGGATAATAATGATTTTTATATAGTTAAAAATACTTTTGTTAGTGGCATTTAAATGAACACTGGGAAAAAATTTATTTTTCCCAGAACGTTGGTATTAGAGGCCTCAATAAGACAAAGTTAAGTCCTATGCTAATTTTTAAGTAGTTGTGTTATCTCTGTTATATCTTAATTCCCATCAGCATACAAACACCTTAAAGCCCATATACAAAACAAATAACCCTCCTGTGATGGCCATGGAAGTTTGCCATTCAGTTCTGCCTTTAAGAAAGCTCTCGCTGATCAACTTCAAGGAGCTCAGTTAGCTGAGAGCCTCCAGGGGCAACACCTTTGGGATCCACTAGAACATTTAAACCAATGCAGGGCTTGTCCCAGATAACCCTAGCCAATCACAGCATGGCAGGGCTCCTAAACCCTGGAGATTCTGCCTCATGAAGGATTCCTCTAAGAGTAACCTTTATGACAGAGCTCCCTGACTGAGCTGAGACTTTCTCAGACCTGTGCCATAGTCTCTTCCCACCTAATCCCCTTCCTGTCCCCTCTCCTTTCTCCAAAGATGCATAAATGCAAACAGATGTCAGACCTGCTTCATTATCTAACTGAATTCCCTGCCTAGCCCTGTTCCCCCTCTATCTTTCAAAAACACTGTCCCCCCAAAACCTCTTGTACTTCTATATGCATTTTGTGATCTGCTTCCCAGACGAGCTAACTAGCACACCTCCCTTGAGTCCCAAATCCCTCTCTAGCTACAGCCCCATTTCTTTGTTCTGCTCTGCAGTAGACCTTTGCACAAGAGCTATCTAATGCTGTGGTTTCCACTTCCTGTTTCCTGCTTACTTGTTAACTCCCATCTGTCTGTATTCTATTACCAGTGTTCCTCTGAAAAAGCAATCGCCACTGAAACAACCCTTCTCCATGGTACAAATCCAGTGGATACTTCCCTGTCCTCTTATGTTGTCTCTCAGTGAAATTTGACATAATATTTTTGAAGGGGAAGGAAAAGTTACTTTTCATTTGCAAATCAGAGACAACACCAAGTTCTACTTAAAAATATGGCCTTTAAAATTAGATGCCTTTGATTTTTAGCCTAAGATCCACCACGTATGAGCTTTGTAAACTTGGAAAAAAATGGCTATTTCACTGTGCCTTGGTTTCCCTGCCTGTCAAATAGGGTAATAATAACACCTACCTCTTGAAATTTTGAAGATTAAATTAGTTTTTTTGAAGATTCAATTAAGGTAGTTAAAGCATTATTTGGCACAGAAGTTGCTGGCAATCATTGTTATTATTCAATGACACATTCTTTTCTGGTTTTTTTTTCTCCTACTTCTGGATGTTCCATCTGCATTCTTCTTTGTTCCTTCTTATAAATGAGACTTCTAAATGTTGGAGCACTCCAGAGCATGGTCACTTTTCTAGCTATACTTCCTCCTAGCCCAGTGTAGTTGCATGTCACCCAGATGCCATTAGCTCCTTGTTTAGACTTGATCCTTATCCAACAGTGTATTTGACATTTCTACTTGTATATTATAAACATATCAAGTTTAATATATGAAAAACAGAACTCTTGATAACTCCCCATCTTGTCAAAACGTGTGCCAACCTTCCCCCGCCACCATTTTTTTTTTCATTTGCTCAAGTTGAATATCTGAGTCTATGGTTTCTCCCTTTCTCTTCTCTACTATGACCACCTGGGCCTAAACCCCATTACCTCTAGCCTGGATTATGGAAATAGTCATCAACCTGGGCTCCTAGCTTTCACTGTTGTTCCCCTCTACAGTGGATTAAGCACACAGCTGCCAAGTTGATCATTTTAATGTTGTAAAATTATGTCACTCCCCTCCTTTTTAAAACCCTTTTTTGGCTTCGGAGTAAATTTGGAATAAAATCTCAATATTCTCCTTTGGACTACATAACACTATATGATCTGGTCCCTGCTTCCTTTACCTACCACGTCCTCCCAGATTTATTTGTTCATTATGCTTCCAACTCTACTGGTCTACTCGTTGCTCTTTGAACACGCTAAACTCTTATCTGCTTCAGAGGCCTTGGATCTGCTCTGCCTTCTCAACACAATGTTCTTCGTTGGCTTTTTACCTGGCTGGTTACTTCAGTTCAGATTTCAGGTTTCGGCTCAGATGGCACCACCCCTGGAAACCGCCCCTGACCAGCTATCTAAAGGAACACATACTACCCTTGTTCCTTATTTTTCAGCCTTTTCTAGCACTTTTGAAAATTTTCTATCATTTGTTTGCTTATTATCTGTCATCATTCCACACTAGAATTTCATCAGTTTCAGTGGAGAGACCTTATCTGTCTTATTCACTTCTATATGCCCATCACCTAGAACACTGCCTGGTACACAGCAGGTGCTTCATAAATATTGCCTCAATTGATAGATGACAATCTTGGCAGACAGTGAACATTTTAGCAAAAGAGTGACATAACAATGATTAACATTTTAAAGGGACCACTCTTGATACTAGAATATAGATACTCATAGTTCTTAATGTCTGCACTAAAATTGTAGAAGTCAGGCAGATGAACAAAGTGATAATATAAAAAAGGTTAAAAATAGAAATATTAAAAAAATAAAAAGTTAACATGTTTCTCATGGACTTCTACATAACATTTAGGTTATGTTAAAGTATATGTAGATATTGGGGTAAGGGGAAGTTAACATTTTTTTAAGCATTTACCTCGTAGCTAAAGCTTAGCTAGGCTCTTCAAATAAATAAAAGAAAAATAATATATATTTGTCAAAACATGTTTACATTCTACTTCCATATTAGATTAATTAAATTCAGCTGTAGTATTTATGTTTAAGTGTAAAATAGAATTTTTAGAATGTAATACTTTATTTCCTTTTGTTGTAAAATAATACTTGATAAATTTCTTACATAATTAAAAAATGTGCCTCTTAAAATAAGAGCTTAGGAACCTATAAAACATTTTCCATTCAGGGGCTGATGCATTTTACATTTTAATACATTATAAATCAGAAATAAAAATTATGCCATGTTTCATTATAAGTAGACTACATTCCTGAATATTTGCAGTGACTGCATAAGGTAAAGGGAGGCATTAAAAAGATAAAAATGACAGCTATCATCTAAACATTTGCTATACAGAAATGATTTGCTAAGGGCTTTTTACCAATAAGACTTCAGTGCAAACTGTCCCTTTTACAGATTTTAAAGATCGAGGCTTAGAAAAGTTGGGTAACTTGACTAAATGCACTCAGTTAGTAACTCTCTCAACCAAGATTTGAATCCAGATCACTGACTTCAAAGCTCTTAATCACTGTTATGGGCTGAATGTTTGTGCCTTTCCCCGCAAATTCTTATATTGAAACCTTAACCCCCAATGTGATGGCATTTGGGCAGTAATTAGCTTTAAATTTGTTCATGAGTGTGGGGTGTTCATGATGAGATTAGTGGCTTAACAAGAAGAGGAAGACAGAAGTTTTTTAGTTTGGTATAGTCCCATTCATCTGATAGACGATTGGATAAAGATCTGGTACATATACACAATGGAATACTATTCTGCCATCAGAAAAGATGAAATAGTGCCATTTGCAATAACTCAGACAACAAAAAGTCAAGAGCCATATGATGTGGGATGTAAAACTGAAAGCAACAAAGGAACAAGCAAACAAAAAAAGAAACAAAAACTGATAGAATAGTGTAGTGGTTACCAGAGGGTAAAGGGGGAGGGGGTGGTAAAAGAGTGTAAAGGGGTGCAAATATATGGTGATGCAAGGAGAACTCCAGGGGGTGAACACACACTGTGATATATACATGACGTATTACAGAATTATACACTTGAAACCTATGCAACTTTACTGACCATTATCACCTCCAATAAACTTTAATAAAAAAAAATAAAAAAGAAAGAGGAACACAAATCTCTTTTTCTCTCCTCATGGGCATGCGCTGAAGAAAAGCCATATGAGCTTGTAGCCAGAGGGTGACTATCTACAAGCCAGGAAGTGGGCTTTCATCAGGAACTGAATCTGTAAGCACCTTGATCTTGGACTACCCAGTCTCCAGAACTGTAAGAAATAAATTTTTCTTATTTGTGCCACCCTGTATATGGTATGGGTCACAGAGCCCCAGCAGACCAAGACCACCACATTGCTAGGTAATCATTATTTTTGGTTCCCCAGCATGAAAAGGGAAGTCACCTTTATGAGAAAAAGCTGAGGTGTTTTTTTTTGTGTTTGTTTGTTTGTTTTCTGCTCCAGCTCTAATAGTCAAACCCACAATGGATTTTTCTCTTGGTTCAAATAATATTTTATTAGAAATTAAGTTGTAAAAGTATATGATAAGCTTCGTCACCAGAGAGACCTAGATTTGTCTCTGCAGAGTTGTGGTTGAAGCTCTGTGGGATCCTTCAGTATATCAGACTACAGCCAACTCTCTGGGGTACCTTGCTTTCATGAGCACTAAAACTCTGCACAAGTATTGAGGGGAGGACTTGAAAGGCCCTCTGAGCTGACCCAGCCTCTGACTGTTCCTTGTCTGTGCTCTCTAGTAGGAGATTTTCTCAGATTTTCACTTACAGCCAGAAGCAACTGTACATGCTGCCCAGGCAGTACTTTCAGTTCCCGGAGGGATGAAATGCCTCATCATCACTCAGCAACCACTTTGGCAGGCTAAAGGGTGACATTGATTGGCTCTGAACAAGTGAGTAAGAGAAACAGTATCCAAACCTCAGGAGGAAAATATGATAGGGGAAAAGAAAAAAAAAAGGCAAGCCCCTTTTAACCCAGTCTTAAAATCTTTCACAGACCCATAAAATAAATGCAGATCCATTTGCAGTGGGAAATCCAGTTACTCAAATGAGGGTTCCAACAAAGTCATCCTTAGAAAGTGACACATTCGTTATTTTATTCATTCATTCAATGTTTAGCGAGCCCCTATTATGTGCCGAAAGCTGTTCTAGGCTCTGGGGATACAGCCTGAACAAAAAGTCCCTGATCTCAAGGAGAAAGACAAAAAAATAGGTAATATATCAGGTGGCCATAAGTACAAGGAAGAAAAGTAAAGTGAAGTAAGAAACGGAGTGTACCGTGAGGAGGGAGATGCATGCTGTTTCCACATGGTGGTTCGGGAAGGAAGGCCAAATTGATAAAAGACCTGTGGGAAAGAAAGGGGCAAGTCTTCCTGATGTTTGTGGAAAGACAAACTAGCAAGAGCAGGAAGGTGCATGAGCCTTTTGAAGACATCCAAGTGGTTGGAAGTAAATGAAGCAGGGAAAGAGATGCAAGGGCTAGTGTGGGGCCAGATTAGGTGCCCACCTGAGAGGCGTGTGGGACTTAAGCTTTACACTGAGCAAGATGGAAACTGATTGCAGGGTCTTGTGCGAAGGAGGCACATAATAATGGATCACAATTTAAAGGGACCGCTCTGGATAAAATAATCAAGGAAGGATGCTGAGAAATCAGTAGGAAGCTATTCCAGTTGTTCAGAAAGAGTTGGTAGTTTGAACCAGAGTAAATGCAGGGGAGGTCATGAAAAATGGTCAAATCTGGATATATTCTGAGGGCAAAACTCACAGGCTTTGTTGATACCTTGGATATGGGGTGTGATAGATCAAGAGAGTGGCTTACGGCTCATCTAGGGCCATGTATGGAGATCAGAAAAATTGGAGGAGGAATAATTTGATGATCAATAAATCAAGAGTTCTTCTGTAGATACCTAGAGTTCAGGGGAAAAGGCCATACTGAAGATATAGTTTTAGGAGTTGTCCCTAATAAGGGACATAGTTAAATGTATGAGCCCGGAGAGACCACCAAGGAAGTGAGTCACAGTGGTAACAGATTAAAGTTGAGGGTGTTTAGTGTATGTCCCTCATAATGCTATGAGGTAGATGCCTTTATTCACCACTTAAAGAAACCGAGGCACAGAGAGGTTTAAGTAATTTGTCCCAGATCACACAGCTAGATAAGTGCAAGAGACAGGATTCAAACATAGGCAGATAAGTTCCAGAGTGTTCTACAGAAAAAGCTAAGGTTATGCATCACCAGTTTCACACATTGCTTCTGCTTCAGTGCCTGCACTCCTCAGGGATGGTCATAACAAGGAATAAAAGTTAGGTCAGAGTTTTGCACCATTGAAATTCTAGGCTCAAACAAGCATTAATACTAGGAAACAGAAGAGCCATAAACAAGTGCTTCAAAACAAAGCGTGTGCGCACGTACACACACACACACACACACACATGCACATACACATGCACACACACATACACACGCACACACACACACACACAATCAAACAAACCATCTCTTAAGAGAAAGGCAAACAACCCCAGGGAAAAAACAATGAAACTTTTTATGTTATTCTGTTTATCCAATTTTATCTATAGATTGTAAGATGCCTTTCAATTTTAGAAATCTAAAAGGAGAAAAAAAGTGTGTGTCTTAGAGTTGGTGAAATACAGTATTTTAACTTTTACAGCAATGTGGCTTATTTTGTTCGGTTCTAAACATTATTTCACCAGAAATGTATCGTTCTTAATACATACTCTCCATTATATTAAACCACAATGCCTCCTCGTTAATAGGAATGACTTTCTTCTCTAGGAAAAATATTCATTGAAGGCACCAGTAAATCCTTTATTTTTAATCCTTCACTTATCTTATTGTATGTATCTCATAGTGATGTTCGTAATAATGGATGATGACCAGCCTAAGAAACAGATACATATTTCACATTGTTTTTACCGAGGACAGGTTCTTTATCACATTCTCTTGATATCTCTAATATAGCAGGGACTTGGTACATCTTTGCTAGAATAATAGAAGTTTATGTTTAATAGTCATTCCTAGTGTCAAAATATTACCATTTACATAACTGAAACACATACATAAAGCTCTCTTTTTGTCACTCTGAATTTTGCTGATCTGGTCAAGTGCTAATGTTTCTGAAAGCAAACATATTCCTATTGCTCGGTTAATCTGTGTATTGACCACGTTTCTTCATCTCAGCTCAAACCAAGCATTTCCCCCTAGAGAAATTGCTGCCACTATCCAGGGACAGCAAAGAGAAGCTACATTTCATAGTTTAATTACAATAGTAGGGTAGACCTTGAAGACATTACGCTAAATGAAACAAGCCCAACACCAAAGGACAAATATGGTATCACTCCACTTATAGGAAGTACTTCGAAGTGTCTAATTCATAGAGACAGAAAGTAGTGCAGTGGTTACCAGAGGCTGAAAGATGGGAGGAATGGGGAGTTATTGTTTAATGTGTGTGGAGTTTCAGTTTGGGACAATGAAAAATTCCTGAATAGCTAAAACCCATTCCTGAATGGTTGTACCACTATGTGACAAGACTTCATGTGGCTGAATTGTGCATTTAAAATTTAGCTTTTTAACAATTTTTATGATATGTGTGTGTGTGTGTGTGTATTTTACCACAACAAACAAAAAAACCTCATGCACACAAACTGTATATCAGCTACATTGCTTCATCCTTCTTTAAGTGGTTTTCTAAAGGCTTGGCAGCAAACGTGGGGATGCCTGTATTAAAGATAGATGCATGCGTGCACACATTTGCCACCAGATCATGCTTCTTGTCCCCAAACAAATGATCCTCTCACCTCCTACAAACCTGTCATCAATCCCAAAATTTAGTTTTCCATATATTTCAAACATGAAATTAGCAATTGACTTTAGAGTCTGCCTTAACTCAGTATGTGTTGACTCCTGACATGAAGGCCCACATTTGCCCTGGCTTGAGATCCAGAGGGCTCCTTTGGACTCAGTCTATTTCCCTGTGGGTGGTTTACAATGAGACCTAATCACCTGCTGGGAGAACCTGAGAGGCTGTTTGAGAAAGCCACAGGAACAAAGTTCCCCAGGGTTGGTGGGTTAAATACTGGATAATTTAGGAACCCCTCCCCCTTACCTGTGGTTTCACTTTCCATGGTTTCCGTGTTCCACTGTTATCCATGGTCAACAGCAAATTGAAAATATTAAATGGAAAATTCCAGAAATAAGTGATTCAATAAATAATGTGTAAGTTTTCAAGTGTGTGCCTTTCTGTAGCATGATGAAGTCTCGCTCTGTCCTACCCAGGATGTGAACCATCCCTTTGCCTAACACATCCGCTCCGTATACGCTACCCACTTAGCGGCCATCTCAGCTATCAGATCAGCTGTCATAGGACGCAAATGCTTGTGTTCGAGCAATCCTTGTTTTACTTCACAGTGGCCCCAAATCACAAAAGTGGTTATGCTGGCAATTTGAGTCTGCCAAAGAGATGCTGTAAAGTGTGTCCTCTCAGTGAAAAGCTGAAAGTTCTCAGTTTAAGAAAATTCAATGGTATGCTGAGGTTGCTTAAATCTACAGTAAAAGCGAAGTCTTCTATCCACGAAATTGTAAAGAAGGATAAAGAAATCCATGCTAGTTTTGGTGTTGCACCTCAAATTGCAAAAGTTACAGCCTCAGTACATAGTAAGTACTTAGTTTAGTGGAAAGGCATTACATTGGTGGAAGACATGAACAGAAAATGGACTCCAATGGACGGCAATGTGTTGCACTAGAAAGCATCGCACCTGTCCGAAGACTTCAGCAAGGAGTCCCCTGAAATAAGTGCCCACATTCACATAACTTTCATGACAGTATATTGTTATAATTGTTCTATTTTATTATGGTTGTTAATCTCTTGCTGTAGTTAATTTATAAATTAAACTTTCTCATAGGTATGTATGCATACGAAAAAAAACGTAACATGCATAGGGTTTGGTACAATCCATGGTTTCAGGCATCTACTGTGGAATCAGATAATGTATTCCCCTTGAATAAGGGGATGACTGTACAATTTAACATCTTTTTCTCCTAGCACTGGAATATGATGAAACGGCACATAACTTTGCTGCCTGGAAGATCTGGGTTCAGTCCCTGCCCCTGCCCCATTAACCATGTGGTTTCGTGCAAGTTCTTCCTTTTAGGACATCAATTAGGGGGCAATCTCAGCCTCCTAATCTAACGTTGGATACATCAGTACTTATTTTACTCCTTGTTGTGAATATAGACCTGCCATGCTGGGCACAGAGTAGATATTAACACTTAAGTTCCTGTCTTGGCACGACCAATAAGAGTTTGGATCTTGAGATTACAATTATGGGCAATCAATAGCTAATCCATAGCCAGTCTGTATGGAGAAGGCTTTGCCCGTCAATCCTGTGGCAGAAAAAAATGAATCTATAATACTGAGGACCATCTATTATAATGAAGAAAAAGCAAATTGTTATGTAAAACCCAAACTATAGGTACTTTGGCTCTTATGGGGAGTGACCAAACTCATCAGTAGAAATCAATCAACCTTGTTCCCTTTCCTGAAGAATCTAGTGAGCGACGGGGGGTTGGGGGGTGGCCAGAATAAAGCGAAGTCTAGAATTTCAATGCATCTCTGTGGGACTGCTGAAAGGACCGATCAGGAGTACATGGCCCATTGTTTAGGCTGACATATTGATGTGTCTTTTGGTTATGAAAGGGTGGCAAGCATCACTGCTCTGCATAAAGGGAGGGGGATAGAAATTTGAGGAAAGGTGAAGAAAAGACACTGTAAGGCTAACTACAAAACCCCCCTTGTTATCTCTAAACCTTTAATTAATTAGAAAGTGCTACACATTCACATGAGCGGTGTGAATGATATTTGAGGGGGAAATCAAGGAGGAAGTTCTATATTCTGTTTCAGGGGTGACATGGTACAGTCCAGACAGCTCTTGGGGAGAGCATCATAATCCATAACAAATTTGAAGCAGCAATTCAGAGCCAAAGTTGACCAGCAAAGGCACACACCATCCTTTCGCTCTCTTTCTTTCCCCTCCAGAATTTCTGGGAAAACTATGGAAAGTGTTGGACTCCCACCATATGTGGGGATAAGGTTCAAGTCCATCCCATTTGAATTGGGCCACCAAACCTCAGTCAATGCCTGCGATAGCCTAGTAGTAACGGATGGGATTTTGGTGGGAAGGGTGCTCATGCAAGCTCTGATATCATCGTATTCCCCTGAGCAAAACTCAGGATGGCAAAGCAGGGATATCACTCTACTGTCTACGTATTGCAAAGGAAAGATCAAGTCACCTCTGAAGATGTTTATGTTTTTCTATCGAGTTCTTGTTATAGACACACATACACTGTAATTCCCGTTTCTTAAAGGAAACTGGCTTCAAAAGAGAAAATTCATCAAAATTCCCTTCCAAAGTATTGGTCAGCTGCCAATTTGTGTATTTCAGATCTGAGCTCCCAGTTTGGATAGGAACAAGATATTCATAATTGCATTAAAGACCCCATTTTATTTCTTGGAGGCAGAGGAAAGGTGTGCAAGGAGACAGGTGCTTGCTTTTAAATACAGTTTCATTGGAAAGTTAGATAAATCTCCCTTATTCATTGTATTCTCTTTCACAGTTTGCTCCCCCCACGCTTTGACTGCATAGAAGTGTGTTCCTATGTTACAATTTAATCACTAACTGTTAATTTAAGACTAATAGACCTCTAGATGGATATCTAATTTAGATACTATTTTTGTTTCAGTACTCAGACTTTTCCTTTTTATTTATTTTTCACAAGTTATTTTGATATTAGTGAAATAAACTTAAGTGTATTTGAGTTATTTCCTCTATAGACTTTCAGTAACTCATTTTATAGCCTGACAGTTTTTTGAAAGAATAGCTATGCTAAGGACAATGCTTGGAATATGGTAGGTTCACAGTAAATATTTCATTTTGAAGGAAACAAAGATTGACCAAATGAGTGAACAAACTAATAAATATACTCATATTGAGAGCTGGACACATTTCCAGGGAATTGGCCAAATGCTCTCAGCTTATGCACATATAAGTAACAATTCCTCTCTCTGCCTAACCACTGTATCACGTCCCCTTCAACAACATTCCCAGGGCCGGCCGAGTGGCTCAGTTGGTTAAGAGCTCGCTCAAGAGTTTGAGCTCTGAGCAACAGCGGTTCGAGTCCAGCCCGAGCTGAGCAGCCGCTGAGCTGCCAACAGGTAGCAGGATGGCTCAGCTAAAACAAACAAACAAACAACATTCCCGACGACAATGTGCATGCACACACACATGCACACATACACGGGCATCAGTGTGTCTGTATAAATGTTTGTCTCGGTAAGTGGGTACCTAAAAATTTTAGAGTTTTAGTCTTAGATTTAAGGGTTGAAGTCTAAGAAAGGGAAAGGAAACTCTTCCTTCAAATGCCTCCCTCCTTGCTTAGTGAGCACTGATTGAGTGAATGAATGAATGAATGAATGAATGAATGTTTAACTCAGGCTACTACTTTCTTCCATCTGAGCTCTCTTGCCTACCCCAAAGGATTTTTATAAATGGGTATGAAATTGAGATTGATTTTTAATGACACGTGCTTTTATCTATATTACTCTTTTCTCACAAAGCGATGGTAAAGATTATATTTATGCAACTTTATTAGAGATCAAATGGAAGTTCTTTTTCTTCTCTCCCTCATTCCCTCCTTTCTTTCAACAAACTATTTTCTTTGTGGGTCTGTGTGCTTGTGATTAAATAATTATAGCACTGCATCCAAATCTTGAATGTACATTGTATTGTCAATGTGTAATATTTCTTCATTTTGTGATTAGAAAAAGATACTATATACATAGCACTAAGGGAATTATAATGGGTATAACCTGAATACAATGTTAAGGTTATTAATACATGGAGATTACTGAGATTTCTATTAAAGTTTATACTTTAAACCCTGAGTGGCTTAGCCCTTTTCTTGGTACCAGGGAAATATACTCGTATACTATTAGGCCATGCGCCATCAAGACAAACAAGTAAAGAGCAGAGGGTGCCGAACCTGCCGCTGGTATGTGGGACACCAGCAGAAGACTCAAAGTAGCCTATAATACGTAAGGCTCTAATGTATGCCAGAAATACAGGCTGGAGTTGCATTCACCAAATAAAAATAAAAAAATCCTAAATACTTGTGTGAATTTAAAGAGACTAAATCTATGTTCAAAGGATTGGTGCAGATTAATATACTTTCTTTCTTTTTTTAACCAGGAGAACAAAAGAAAAAGTGTTGGCATTTGTAGTTTGGCTTAAGTTCCAGGAACCAGAAACTGAAGGTGAACTCTGATTCTTTCCTGGCTTTTCTGCGTTGTTTGGAGTAAAAATGGACTAAATACCATGAGTAATATGGAAGTTCTCTGAAGGGTAAGTTAGTGCTCTGATTAGGACTTCTTTTTTGATAATTCAACTGGAAACATAATGGAGAAACTTTGCCAGGGCAGTTTCTCAGAGATGGAAGTGATATGCAGAGTCACTCTGCTTGGAACTTCATCAATTTATTCCTAAATCCTGGCAGAACAAATTCAACACTTGCTTGGTCATTGCTGTTGCCTTTTCATGCTTAGGAAACAAGGCCTATTCCTTAAATAGCCACTCTCACCGTCCTTCACTCCACAACACACCTTCCTCTTTCTCTGTGCTTCCCAGTTCAAGCTCTGTAGAATATTCTACTCACAGGATTTCTAAAAAAATAAGTGATACAGCATGTTGTGCTTTTCTCTGAGAATATGCTTGAAGTTTTGAGTTTATGACTTATAAAGTTTCCATTGCTATTTCTTTACATTCCATTTTTTATGAAGATAGTATTTGGATAAGGTTTTATCCTATGAGCTTTGGTGATTAACAGTAATACAGATTACATTGGTATAACACACACTAGTTGTCATATTCCTCATCAGAGGAGTTCAAAATATTATACTTTAGACATCTTGGCCAAAATCCTTTTTGTGTACTAATGCTGGCTTATATTCAACTAGTTTATTTTCATTATTGAAATACCTAGAGAGCTGTGTAAACTTAAATTTCCCTTATAAAGAAAAGTATGAAAATAGAAAGGACAGGGTTTGCTTCTTTTATACATTTTCTTTGGAATCACCTAAAAGAGTGCTATGCTTTTGGGCTCTGGCAAATTCTATCAGGGCCTTGCATCCTCGCATTACATGGTCAGATGGATATTGTGTTTTAAACCAAGACTAAGAAAAGTCAATTGTAGATAAACAATTGATGCTACAAATTAATGAGAAGAGCACCACGTTTTAACCATGGTTTAGAACTAACTTTATGGCTCTTCAGTTTTTCCTTGAGTTAGGATCCATATTTTATTAAAATATATCTTAATCACTCTTTCTGTATCCAGAGTATCAAAAATAATAGTAATTGCAGAGGGGCTTTACTTCTACAAATTTCAAGATAAACACATCTGATATAACAATTTAAGGTGAATTTTGCATGTATAGAGCAGAGACATTTTGGTCAATTTTTCCTGATTCAGTAATAATAATAACATTCCAATTGATGGAGTTCCTTAATAAGCCACAGAAAACTTCCTAGAAGTCTTTTCCCTACTTTTGTGTGATATGATATTAAAAAGCTTAGGGAAAAGTTCTAGGACAGTTTTAAATATATATATCTTAACAACGAAATCAAGGTATCCTTTCTTTTTTTACTTCAGGTTTTAAAATCTTTAGCTCCTTAGATAAAGCCCATGTGGATTTTAGAATCTAATAATGTCATCTATTGTAGATTAAAATTTGTTTTCACTTTTATAGCTAGAAATAATTAAAAGTCTCCATTTTAAATCATTCACAATATGGACAAATCATTGAATGACATTTCTAAGAATTTCCTATTTAAGTAGGAAGAACAATATAGACCACATAATTTTCTTGATGTTTGTAGTGGTAAAACCCCTTCACTATAGTGATTGTTTGTTTTCTGTAGGCATAGTTACAGAAAAATTGATTAGGATCAAAATAAGGATCCTAACCTACTGAACGTTTTCAAGAACCACAAAAAAGCACTGAAATCCATTGTAAATTATGCTAACACCTGGTTACAATTTGATGTCTTCTCACCAATTTGTAACTTCTTCAGTTGTTGTTAATCAACAGTTGGTTTTCCACTGTACTACCTCTTGCATTTGTTTCCAGGGCCTCTGAACTAGTCCTCAGGGACTTTGGAGCCTCTTAGGTTTGCCACTAACATAGGACCTTAGGTATGCCTACAGCGACATGGAAACCCTGTGAAGCCCCTCAGATGTAACACGTGACAGTGAGAGGGGATAAAATTATATCTAATATATAATATGACTCTGTCCTTAAAATTTCATTATACAATTCCAATTTTGGCTCCTTTTTCCTTACACCAGGAACCTGTTCTAGATGACCTGTCTACCTCCAGTCTTGGCTCTGGCATTTAAGGCTGTTTCTAGCCATTTTAATCAGTTTTGACTTTGGGAAATCTTGTCTAGTGTCTTCATTTGCCATTCACAGTTCACACCGTCACCCGAATGTTTTCCGAGATTCCCACGTGTTTCCAAACTTGAGTAAAACCTCTGTGAAAGCTGGAACTATTCTTATACTTCTTGGCAGAATTCTATGCGGGCAACTGGACTTGTTGGCCATAGGTCTCTTAGTCACAGCCACAGGTAATCCGTTTCCTTCTTGGCTGTTAGGGAAGGGCCTGATTAGCCAATCCAACAAATTCCACACCCCACCCCCTGCTTCCCTGGGTTAGCTCTCTGCTCCTGCCTCAGGCTTCTTGCCAGGTTGCACAGAGTATCAAATTAAACGATTAAGTTTTACCTTTGCAGTGGAGCCAGCAGGGGCACAATGCTGTTTATCTGCCGTCCACTCCATAATTGTCTTTTCTACATCAAAAGTTCTGCTTCCTTTGACTTGGAGTCGCTCTTTTTCTTCCCCGAGAAATTTACCACTCCTCCCATTTGTTTATAATGAATTGATGAATGTGGTGATTTCAGTCAAACAGTTTTAACTCCTTGTTCCCAGTCACATAACACATCATTGAGTTTCACAGTTGCGGGAGATTTAACTTCAGCAAATGAAAATAAAAATCTTTTCACCTGTCCAAAGAGTCATGTGCTAAACCTATTAGAGCAATATGAACTGGATGGTTAAGAAAAGTTAGATGTTTACCATTTTCACAAATATGGGAACTTTATTAATTTCCTTTTAGTCATAGAGTTTCACTTAAAGTGGATGCTTTTTTTATAACCATCTTTGCCGAGATTAGAAAATATCTAATGAAGAAGTAAAATGTATACTATGTCAAGTTACGTTTGGTAAGAATGACTCATCTTCATGACTTCTGTCTTAAAGAGTTCAGTTGGGCGGCCAGGTGATTAGTAGGAGTGGGTTATTTACCTGGGAGGACCTGGAAAGCTTTTTACACAGTGTCAACAGGATTGTTGTTAAGCAGAAAGTTGGCAAACATGGGAAGGTTGTCATTAAACAATGTTGGGATTCAGAACTGTTGACGTTTATTTGCTTTTCAACTCTTCAACAGCTCATGGAGAGATCCAAGCTATCTAAAAAGAAAAGGCACATGCATCATTGCACTTCTCCCTCTCCCTTTTTAAAGCTTTGGCAACCCTAAAACAGGGTGAAACAATCCTTTAAGGCAAGGGCTTTTTCACGTGGGCTTTTCCACAAATAGGCTTTGGGGGGGGTTCATGAACTCCTGCAACTATACGTGGCATGTGGTGTATAATTATGTGAATACGTACAGTCTTCTGTTTGGGTGGTGTGGGAGGGTGGCCCATCTTTTATTAGATTTTTTACAGGGATCTGTGAAACAATACGCTTTACAGGCTATTACTGTAGGGCCTCACTTGAGCAGCTTTAATAATGGGGGTGGGGAAGGTGAAAGAGGACACTGGTATGGTGCATGCTTCTTCCATACGCAACCTTTAAAAGCCTAGCCAGCTCGGTAGGTGGGAGTAAGAGATGGAGAACCCTGGCCACTGCTGCAAAGGGAGAATGGTGTGCTGGGAGCAACTCAGCAGAGACAGACACAGCTAATATAGCCCCCCACCCCACCCCCTCAAGACAGAGCATCAAGAGACCCTTATCCTATTTACCTAGACAAGAGATTTTAGCTTTTGGTACTCATTGAAAAACTGACAGCAAATGCTGCTTTTCTTAGAATCTCATGCACCAATTCCACCAGGTGCAAGTGGGTTTAGGTCCTATTTACTGCTGTGCTTGGCTCGTCACACAGCTCTGAGGCCTATATCCAGAGACCGCCCCCCACTACACAGCCCTCTATTTGCTAAATAAAGAGAAATTAATGGATCAGGGCTTGTGCTCCTCCATTCTCAAATCTGGATAGTTTTCCCAAATACAATCAAGGTAGCAGCCTTCAGAAATGGCAGGCCAGCATCGAAGATTTTATCTTATTTCACAGTAAGTGAACATCAGAGATGCGTCTTTCCAAGCTGGGTTGCCATGTTGGACTCTTTCTACCTCATTCATCCGGGTGGACCCACAGCCAAGCCCCCGATGAAAACAGGAACAACACCCAGTTTTGTTCCAGGAGGCCGGCTCCAGCATCTTTCTCTGCAAGGTAGACCTCTTCCTCACAGAGCTTCCTTTTTTCTTTCTTTTTTTTTTTTGGTCTTATGGTTTCTTAGGTCAGAGACAAGTTAGTTGAAACCTATATTCTTCTTTGGGGTTCTGGCTCACGTGTAAATTGTTCTTCATTTGCTTCGTTTCCTCAGGAGATGACTCTGCTGGTGCCTTATCAGCTTCACTCCTTGCAGCTTATAAGCCAGGGACTGTTGGGTTATTCCCTCCCACATGTACCTTGGCACTTGCCCCGCTTTTTTTTTTTTTTAAAGTGGGGTGAATCAAACTTACTTACCATTGAAGTTTTAATAACATTCTTAAAATGGGTTCTTTGGCTTCCCACAACCCTTCTAGCTAAAATGCATGCACACAGACACTGTTTCCACAGAAAGTGAGATTTTACTCATCAAAAGGTCAAGTTATCACAATTCACTGGCGACTAATCTGCTTCAGCAGGGCTGGATCTGTGCTTGCATTTTAAATAGACCTATGACTGCTGATGCTATCAGAGGTTTTTCCTTAACTCTAAAAATTATCCTTTAATATTAAAATAAAAACAGTTTTGTTGAAATACAAACACCTTGGGTGTAAAAATCTGGATAGTCATTTGGATATAATTGTGACAGTGACAGTGTGTTGTGAAAGGTAATCGTACGGTCTCTGATTTTTGTGAACTTCAGATAACAAGTTGCCCTGTAAAAGGTGAACAGATTTTTTACTTTTGCTGGGTAAATATATTAGCTTCCTAGCATTGCGATAATAAATCAGTGGTTTAAAAAAACGCGAATTTATTTGCTTAACAGTTCTGGAGATCTGAAGTCCACAGTGGCTTCCATTGGGCTAAAATCGAGGAGTCAGCATGGCTGCATTCTTCCTGGAGGCTCTGTGGAAGAACCCATCTCCTTGCCTTTTTCAACATAGAGACTACCCATAATCCTTGGTCCTAGACCCCTTGCTCTGCCTTCAAATACCACGGCACGATATTCAAATCTCTGCAACCCGCCTCTCTCCTTCTTGTAAGGACCCTTGTGATTGCATGGGCCCACCTGGACAATACAACACATCGTCCCCATTTTAAGATCCTTAACTCAGTCACACCTGCAAAGTCCCTTTAATCATGTAACATCACATTCACTGGTTCTAGAGATTAGGATGTGGTCATTTTGAGGGGCCATTATTAAGCTTACCACAGTAATTTAATTGGGGAGGTGGTGGGGAAGGAATCCACAACATAATGCTTGCTCTAAAGAAGGTATTTCTTTAAAATTTCAATAGAAATAAAAAATATCTACTTTTCATTAGAAAAATGAACCCCAGCCAGGTCAGAACTGTGAAAGTCAATTCAAATGAGAAACTTTCCCATCCAACTCCACAAATGTATAGACTAGAGCCAGTGTAGACTAGAACATTGAGAAAATACAACAGCTCTTGGGGTAAAAGAAGGTGTCGAGGTCATTTCTTCCTAGTCTGTGATTTTCTTTGCAGATGTTGCAAATAAATCAGAACTAGGATGCAGGCATGGCACATGTGTTTAGTATTCTCCAAGCTGTGCTGAAAGCTAACACGCCATAAAAACTGTTCTCTATCCTTCTTCCCGGTAAAGGAGTTAGGTAGCTGGTTTGCCCTGCAGTTCTGACTTTTCCAAGTTGTGTAACTTTATGCTTTCAGACATATAAAACAATCGAGGCCGTGCCCAGTTCTTCAGGTGGCTGACGATCGTCCTTTCCCTGTTCCCTCTCAGTGCCTTCCTTCCCGCTGATGATGAGTGACGTGCGACAAAGGTGGAGCAGGTGTGCGGTGTCTGCCCTTGGCGGCGTGTTCAAGCATGACTTGAAGAAGGAAACTTGACTTTATTTTTTTTTATTTCTTACAGGAGAGGGAAACCAAAGGGATGACAGGCTCCCATAGGAAATGCACACACACCTGGTTTTTTTGGATTTGGTGCTTTAGGCAGTTTCAGAAACAAGCCCCAGAGTAAAACCGTCAACATGAGAACACCTTTGTGCTGTTCAAAATTATTCTCAAAAACGAAGTCGCACTTTCTGACCAGGTGCAGGATAATTTTTCCCCCCTTTTTCCTAAATGTAGGACTAATTTTTATTACCTTTCTGAGCAATAAATCATTCTTTTAAAAATCACATTTGGATAAAAAATTGGATAAAAATCACATTATTTGGATAAAATAATCGGGGAGAGAACACTGATCATTTTTAAACACTGATATTTCTCATAATCTTTAAAGACAGAATGGAAGGCATTTTGGACAAATCTATTGAAGCAAGATTTAGATAGAAGTATATAAATTATGTTGGCCTGTATGATAAACACCTGTTCAGAAATTAGCATCACTACACAAGAGAGCCACTTATCTGATATTTTTGCCCGCTTTAGGCCTAGATACAATTGTGTGCTGGTAAATTTATAGAAAAAGGCTCTTCAGGGGGAAGAAACCCCTGATTTGTAGTGTTTGCTGATTTCTATGGTGTTAGACAATACTCCCACCGAGGTCAATTTCTAGGAACCACCCTGAAGTCATCGATGGCGGGGATGAGAAGAGATGGGTGCAACAGGCTCTCCTGAGCGGGTGTAAATGTCTATAAATAATATAACTGAGAAGATTCAGATAGATTACAGCAGGATATAGTCAGAATGATTGAACCCCAACTTTGAAAGGAGAACTATGTGTAATTTTGCTATTTGATAAACCTTAAGGATATATTATAGGATCTGAAACCAAGAACATAATTTCTGCCTTTGGATGGTCTGGATTTTTCTTTGTCTAAATTCTGGCAATTGTCTTTCCCCATGTCCTATCCTGGTCATTCTGGGAGTCTGCATCTTGCTTCAGGGGCTTTAGTAAAAAAACACAGGAAGGCCTGAATTCTTATTTATACATTGGACCCAAGTACAGTTTTTATATATGGATTTTTTTTCTCAATTGCTCTGTGTGAAGGACTTGAGTTCCTTCCAATATCAGCTGAAAATGCCAGATGCCTATTTGTTTGTGTGGAAATTTCCCCAGACTGTAGCATTTAACTCTCTGACCTGAGTAGTATGTGTGCGAATTTTCCATTGTGTTGCATTCTCTGCTGAGCAGTGGCAAATTTTTTAAATTTTATTTTTATTTTATTTTGTTTTACTAATAATGCACAAGAGCCCCTGTCTGCCTCCCACCCTCAGGACTGCCTGAGACCTGGGGCAGAGAATTCCCAGCTCCGGGCTCCTGCATTAGAGATGTTACTCTAGTTCTCTGCTGGCTGTGCCCTTTTTCACTGAGTCTGTGCCCCCTCTGGTATGACTACTGTCTGAATTCCAGAGACCCCAGAATTCTACACCCAATAGGCACTGAGTTTATTGGACCTACAGTAGCCCCTTGGTTTTGTCATCATCCAAAGGGTAGACTGTTCTATCTCCCATGATTTTGATGATGGGTAGCTGTTTTTGTTGTGGACATAAGCATACTATGATGCCTCCTAAATGTGAACCTGGCTTTCTAGGTCAAGGACATAGGTTGGAACATATTAATATTTCATTTAAGTGGTCGTTGGCTTAAAGTTTTAAATATTAAGGCATATAGTATATCGACCTCCATTTGTACTTTTGATCCAGATCCTGTGACTGTTAGGGCAGAGCTCCCCAAACCACAGGAAAAAAGACAAGTGTTACCTTTTCTCCTTTAATTGTAGACAATCTAGGTAAGTAAGGATGAGGTTTTAAAGAGGGTTAAGTTCCAAGGAAAGAGGCATGGGCATGGGAGTTAGTTTATCAAAAAATAGAGAGCTACTGATTAGTGTCATTGTCAGAAAGAATGTGGCCAACCTAGCCCTGGGAGCTACCATGAGGACACACATCGATGCCTAGACCAGCAGCAAGACTCGTCCATGGCAGCAGTCTGGTCTTAAGGACAGAGACCCCTTGGCTCCTCCTCATGTACCTCCTAACGCTTCCTGTACATGCCCATTATCTCCTCCCGATGTGCTCAAGAGAGCTAATGACTGTCCTGGGGGAGGCGTTGCAGGCTCCTTGGCGTTGTGGAGTCTTGTGTCACTAGTCTCATCTCGTCTACCATGGTCAGTCTGTGATTTGCTGAGCTCCACCAACCCATGGGCATTTAAAACTCCTTTGGGTGGAAAGAGTCATTTTCTGCATGCACCTTAGGCTGAATGTAAACTTTCTGATTGTATAAGCACTGTGGTCCTTTCTGTGTCATGTCATTAAACTCCTTCTCCCAACTGCCCAGCTACAGCAGCTCTAGGACATTACAGTATAATTGCTGCCTTCTCAATATTATGTAGGTTACATATATGAACATACCATTTCCTGAGGCTTTTTCAGCAAAGCGTATGTCAGGGTGGGAATCTAAAATAAGACAAACTCTAAATCATTTTGTTCTCAAAAACTGGTACTATGAAAATTCAACATCAGAGCTATCTCCAAGAAGACCTTAGTGTCTGTGCAAATATTAACAATATTCACTTCAGGGGCGAATGCTTCTTGTCAAAAGGATATCCTAGTATTTTTAAATTAGTAACATTAGTAAGAAAAAAATGTATGACCTTAACTGTGAAAATAAATAAAAAATCAATTAGCCAGGATTTGGGGAGCACCTGAGTCCTGTGAGGTTGGCAGTCAAATATGACAACATCCCTGCTTTTATGAAGTTACTCGTTAGGGAGAGACAAATCTAATACACCAAATCAAGAGTGGAAAATGAAAGATAGTAAATTGCACTGGACTAGCATGTGGCATTTGAGTGCTATAGGCAGTTGAGACAAGGAGGAAATCCAAGGAAGGCTTTTTGGAAAATGTAGGCTGTCAGCTATGTCTTGGAAGCTGTGTAGTGGAAGAGAGAGAATTCCAGAGGATGGGAACATGATAAGTGTGATAGTTAATTTTATGTGTCACATTCACTGGGCCAAGGGGTGCCCAGATATTTGGCCAGGCATCATTCTGGGTGTTTCTAGATAAGATTGACATTTAAACCAGTAGACTGAATAAAGAAGAGGGCCCTCCCTAATGTGGGTGGACCTTGTCCAAACATTTGAAGGCCAAACTATTGGGTTGTCGGAAAAGTCATGACACAGTTTTTTGCAACGAAAACCAGAAAAAATACGTCATGACTTTACCGACAACCCAATAGAGCAAAAAGACTGACCTTTCCCCGAGGAAGAGAGAATCCTTCCTTTCTGACTGCCTTCAAACTGCAGCATATGCTTTTTTTCTGCCTTCAGACTCAAACTGAGACATCGGCTCTTCCTGGGTCTTGAGCTTGTCAACATTTAGACTGGAACTTCCGCCATCAGCTCTCCTGGTTCTCAGGCCTTCAGACTCAGACTCAGACTGAAACTGCTGACTCACCCTGCAGACCGTGGATGATTTGCCAGCTCCATAATCACATGAGCCAATTCCTTTATATATATGTGTATATTTTCTCATCCTATGGGTTCTGTTTCCTCGGAGAACCCTATATAACACAATAAGTAAAGCCACACCACTTTTGCAAGACAATGGAAAGTGTGGTCTGCCAAAATTAGAAAGAGGAAAGATGTGTGTGGAAAACTTCAAGATATAGTAGATTCGATAGAGCAGAAGATGAAGTGTTAACAAGAAGGGCTTGACTGGCAATGCAATTAACATACCCTACGCCTAAGGTAATCACACTCTCACTTGTCAGTGTTGTCACTCTTTCCACTGAGCCCAAATTTGAATGAGAATTTCATCTCAGTACTGTATCCCCAGGGACTCATTTCGCATAGGTGCACTAGATTCAACATTGTAAAATGAGCTGGGGATCTGGCTGAAATGCAGATTCCGATCCAGTAGGCCCAGGGCGGATGGAGCCTGAGTTCTGCATTTCCAAGTGGTGCAAACGCTGCTTGAGGACTCCACTTTGAGGTGGGGAACATCCCTTGTTTAGTTAATGCTGCTTGAACTAAGGAGTAACTGAAGAAACACTACCTAGCCTCTGAAGAAATAAGGCCTGGCCTGGGGGGCGGGGGAGAGGGGGGAGAGTACAGTACATTCTGGAATTGTTTTTGAATGGTTCTATGTGTATTGTCCTGTGAATGGGTTACCAAGAATTTACAAAATCATAGAACAAAAGTTAAGAGGACCTCAGTAGTCATCCAGACAATGTCATTTGAGGTAAGCTACAATTTGAACAGCCGTTTTGCTCATATTAAAAGAAATAGCATTTTAAAAAATTTGAACGCTGAGACACATTTGATGTAATTATTTATAAAATGCTAATATTAGTTGTAATTAGCCTAGGAAAAAGCTTGATAGGAAAGAGATCAGGGGATTTAGGTGATTCACCCAGAACCTCTCAATTAGATTTTCTCCAGGGCAAGGTTAGCATAGAGATGGAAATTCCAAGGAAACTAAGTGGCAAGCCTTTTGAAATCAAGAGCTGCGGCTCTCTTGTCAAGACACTGGGTAGAAAAGAGTAAAGCACAAGTGCATGATACATCCAGTAGGGATTGTCTATTTGGAAATAAATAAAAGGAATAAATAATCTGTCATTGCCCGTAACATTTCCAGAAAAAGGATATTATAAGAAAGAAGGTGAAAATTAAATACAAAGAAATAAAAATGAGGCAAAAATCCAATGTATGCTCACATGAAAATATTCAGAACATTGTGATATATATACTGTGACACTCAAAAGAAATGGAGGCCAAGAATAATTTGGACAATTAATAGGAGTTTCCAGTAAATAAGGCACACATATGCATGTACACAGACATGTGCTCACCTCACTCCCCTATATATTTATGAATTTTGTTGTTGTAGTTCAGGGTTGAGCTATGCTAAACAAGGGATGATAAAGTACAATTAATTGTGCCTGTGCTTGTGCTGTGAGTTGTTTCAAGTGATGGGTTTAATGGAAAGAATTAACAGGAAGTTAACTTGAATTTCCATGTTAACACTTACTAGATTGGAGGCATTCTGTCTGGATTTAGTTAAAATACCCTTTCCTACAAACTTCTGAACATTTGAAATATACCAAACACTGTGCTGGCTGCTTCAGAAACAACCTATCAAAGAGAAGGACTCAATCCTATTTAATTATTTAAGAGCTCTGACTTAGATTTCAGACCTGGGTTCACCTATATAGGATACATCACCTACTTGCTGTATGACCTTGAGAGACTTATTTAATCTTCCTAAGTTTTGGTATAATAGAATGGGATTAATAACAGTGTCTACCATTGTAATGCAAGCAACAGAAACTGACTAACTTAAAGAAGAGTGGGATTTAGTGGGAGAAAGTGGGGTAGCTCCCAATACCTAAGAAATGGAAGCACAAACAAACCTCCAAAGACACAGAAGCAGAACAGTGACAGAGATCTAGGTGAAGACACAGGGACAATCTCTTTGGGGAGCTGTACCCAAAAGAATCAGCTCCAACTATGTTCTGTCCTTGGGCCAGATTTCTAGGATTTCTAGCTGATTGGTCTTGCCAAGTGAGAGTAGGGAAGGGGAGAAGTGCCAAACCACCCCTTTGCACTTAGAGCCATCGTTTGATGGTCCCACCAGAATGGTACATGACTGGGATGGGCAGATTTCCCCCAAAATCAGTGACGTGCTATCAAACAATTGGAAAAGGATGCTGGACTGGCAAAAACAACAGCTGTTTACCACCGGTACTTTTTTTTATTAAAGGATAACAAAAAAGTGTTCTTTCTATGTTAGTTTACTGATCCAATGCTGCTGACATCTTTCTGCACACCTACATCAGGGGCTCAAATATTAACCATTTTCAATTAAAGGCCAGGACACATTTTATTATACAAACATTAGTGACAATTTTAGAAGTCTTAGCTGTTCATTCTAAGTCATTTTGCAGTTTCACAGGGATGTAGAAAGGCAGCTAATTTTAAGTAGATGCTTCCTTGCTGATCATTTCATTTGCTAGAATGATCACATTAAAATCTTTTTTGGGGGGTATGTAAAAAGCATACACTTTGTATCATGAAATTTGTGGAAAAAACAAACATTAAACATTAAGAACATGCACTTAATGTTCTTTTTTACCTCATAAAATGTAAGAATTTTTTTTTTTTTTACGTAGTGGGATGTTGAAGCTATTCAATTTTCACTTGAAATCACTAATGATCCATTATAATTTGAACTGTAATCTGGGTTTGGCTTGTTGTATTTTCTCCTTGGTATTCATTGATGTGGAAAAGGGGTAAAGAAGATGTCAGGTGTTAAATATAATTAATGTTAAAAACAGATCTGATGAATCAGGGTGTTATTTCTGAAGAGAATGACTCAACAGAGGCTTGCCGGTCACAATTACTAAAAATTAGTCATTCTGTGAGATGCTTTTGCTGATACTAATAGATAAAACACCTTTGAGGGAAACCCTTTTGAAAGTGTTACAATACGACCTCAGAAAAACATGCCTTTCCAGATACAAAACTAGTTATCAATTCATCCAAGAAGATGTGAGCAAAGCTTTCTTAGAAATTAAGTATCACTGAAAAGTTCATTTATGAGCAGACTTTGTCCCCTAGCTAGGTTCTGAGTAAGCGATTTTTGCTCTGTACTTGGCAGTCCATAATGTTACTAAAGACGAAGGACTTGAGCTGTGTTAACCTCAGCTTCCCAGTCTGTTTAATGGGAACAATATTGGTGCCTACTTCTTAAGGGTACAATATTAACTGAAGTGAAGCATGGGAAGTACTGAGCATAGTACTGGATACATTCCAGATGCTTAATAAACATTAATTAATAAAATTATTTTGCAACAATTTTGCAAGCATCTAAAGATTCCAGTAATTTTCCCAATGCGTTTGGGAAGTCTCTTTAATTTTATCACACCAGTGAATCTCATCTTCCTCTTAATTGACGTTGCAACCCCTCTCCCCTAAGACTGTCAAGTTCCTTTTCCAAGTCATCTTTAGTGAGCAATCAGCTGAATCCTTCCCTGTCAGCTTTTTATGAGGCAATGAACTGGCACCTCCCCCTCGTCTTCAGGCCCTAGGTGCTAAGAAGATAGATCAATTACCTTGACACTTGTCCCTGTTCCTCAGGGGCATTGGCTTTCCCGTTTTGCCTCATCACCTTTCCAAAAATCTTTTGTTCTCACAATTGCCAACTAATATTGCTCTCACAGTTTGCCCGAAGATGTACAGGCATGCCCAGTGATGATGGGTTCCTAAGAAAGGACTTGGAGTCCTTGACATCAAATTTATACTGACCTGGATAAAGTAATGACAAAAATGGCCTGTTTTGGAAACATTACGTAAATTGCAGAGAATAATGAATTCTTAGTCTATGATACATCCATGAAACAATGCTAAGAGATGTCCCTGTGGACTTTTTTTTTCCACACTACTTGAACTATAACTTTTTTTAATATTTACTTTCTTAAGATCTTAGAAATAAACTTAGGTTTGCAAGGGAACACTCATGTCTGAAAGGAAGCGTTCTTAAGTGACCATATTATTTTGCTAGATATGTCAGTTGTAATACCCTCCACCTCATGCTCAATAGAGCCTAAGGGGTCATGGGGCAAAGTTTGGGTGATTGATTTTTTTAAGCTATCAGGACAGGACAGTTTTTATACCCAGGAAGAAAAAAAAAGAAAAAAAATCTATTCTTTGAAATATTTTTAGCTAGTCATTTGTTGAGTTTCTACACCTTGTTAAATACAGTAGAACATTCTTCATTTAAATAAAATAAATAAAACATGTGACTTAGGTGTTATTTTTATCTCACATTTTACAGAATGGGAAACTAAGATTTAAAGAGTGTAGATACTTGCCAAAGGTCACAGCCAACTTAGTTCCAGAGACAGAAATTGAATCAAACTCTTTTTAAATCCAAATTCAGTGTACTTAATTCCCAGGCCATGCATGGCATGACATCTCTTCTCCATGAAAGCTAATTTCTTTTTCCACAGAGGTCCTATATGTGGCTCTACTAATGTTCTTTGTGGAGTTTTATTTTGCTTTCTCTTCGTGACATGTCATGGATTAGCATTCTCATAATGTGAGTGATTTAGCTTCAGATTACTCTTCTCCAAATGGAGGGAGTGGACAAACCTTAAACTGAAGGCAGGGTTGGAATGTCAAAGCCTCAGAGCTTTAAGGGACCAGAGAAAATCCCCCCAAGAATCCCATGGTCTCCGGGCTTTTTTCCAGGTTCAGCCTGCGTGCGGGACTTCATTGCTCCATCTTGCCTGCTTCTCAATGGAATAATCTTTGTTTTGGATCCTGTTCTTGTATGCTGCTCAGTGGACCTGAAAATTGGAGATTTCCTTGCTTCCTGGTCCTTCCTGTGCCTGAGAAACAGACTTGGAATTCTCCTTTTTTTTTTTTTTTTTTCTCTTCATTCAGCAAAAGGACTGCCCCACCAACTACCATCCCTTGTTTCAGTTCTTGGAACCCAGCCTGGGCCAACAGGCCCCTTGAGAAAAGAAATTTAACTTCCCTGGCCTATTTCCTTCCTCAGTAGATTGAAGAACTGAATAGAGAAAAGCTTCTTAATATATACTATATAATACTAAAATTTACTTAAAAAAAAAAAGACAACCCCTGCATTACTATCATTTGAGACAATTTATATAAGCTAACATATAGGATAATTATAAGAAAATAAACTATTTTATTTGTTTCCCCTCTCCCCTACTGAGATTAAGCATAAATAGTTGCTTGTATGAAATGAATCTTTACTGTTCACATGTGTGAATGCTTGTGACAACACTATAGGCCCATGATCGTTACTCACGTGTATACTGTCACCTTCGATTTTTCTAAGGCAGAAATTGTATATAATGCATGTGGCAAAGACTGCTAGCCGTTCACCAAGATCCCTCTCCTCTTCTTCCTGAGTACACAGCTACCCTGTATTTCCCAGTTTCTCTTGAAGTTTAGGTGTGGCCACGTACTAGAGTTTTTGCACCGGAGTACTCTTCCGTGCCTTTGCACCTTTGGCTTTCTGAGAAGGGGCTGAGCCCAGCTACCACTGAAGGACTGCACAGAGCTGAGTGCCGCTGACCTGAAACTGTCACCCTGGCTTGTCACCTGAAAGAGAAATAAAGTCCTTGTGCCCAGAGATGCTGAATTTGGAGGTCTATTTGTTATCACAGCATAGTCTGTCCTAACGAAAGCAATGTAGGTGTGGTCTTGAATACAAGTTTCTTAGCTAGGGAGCATGCTTAGTAGAAGCAAAGTGTCTGCCATGTCTTGCTGTCACCTACTCATCTTCGTGTAAGCAATAACTCTTGCAAAGTGGCCAGTCTTTTGAATATTGGTAGAACATGAAAACATAAAGTAAACCACTAAATGTTGGTAGAAAAAATAAAGTGAAATTGAGTGTGTCTAAGAAGCTAATCGTTCTTAGCTTAGAAGGTGAATGTTTTTTTATAATTTAATAGTAAAATGCCAATTTAATATCAGTATATGAATAATTCCACCTAATGATCTATATAAATGAAGAACAGAAGACTTAATTCTTGAAGTGTTCCAGCAAATGCTTCAACCAGGATTTTAAAGATAGCTTTACAGCTAACTGTGGTCCTGAACTTACAATATCAGTCATATATGTAGGGATTATTTACATTATTTAAATTTATACTTTGCCACAGTTCAGGTAGAAAATTATATATGTATCTGAAACCTTGGTGATTTACACACATGTATAGAAAAAGCAATCGCTTTATGATGTATTCCTGCTAAATATTCTTTGATTGGTCCAAGTCTGGGATGAATTTATCTGCTTGACTCTCTAATACTGTGATATTAGACCACATATTTTGGTATCTTACATTGCAAAATTCTAGAATATAGAGCAAGGAGCAAAATAAATAAATGATATTATTTCTGACTGTTAAATTCTTCTGATAGGCCAAAAAATGGTCTCAAAATATCAGGCCCTAATCCTTAGAATCTGTAAATATTACCTTAAATAGAAAAAAAAATGGGCTTTGTAAGTGTGTAAGTGAGGAGATTGTCTCAAATTATCAGAGTGGACCATAAATGCAGTCACATAGATTCCTTTAAGCGGGAGGCAGAGAGCTTTGACACAGAGGAGGAGGAGGCAGTGTGATCACAGAAGCAACTTGGAGAGATGAAGCCACAAGCCAAGGAAAGCTGGAAGACGCCAGGACCAGATTCTCCCTGCGAGCCTCCGGAGGGAGAATGGCCCTGCCAACTCCTAATTTAGGCCCAGTGAAACTGATTTTGGACTTCTTTCCATTAGAACCATAAGATAAATTTTTATAATTTTTAGTCACTGAGTTTGTAGTCATCTGTTACAGCAGCCACAGGAAAAACACTCACGTTCATTTTTCAATGGCTGAGTTTATATCTATGGTATTTTATTCCAAGCCTTGGGAGACCTAGGTGTGTATTCCTTTCCTTTGGCCTAGAAAAGGCAGGTGTGCCTTCCATTATATTGTGGATTGTTGGGATCTTTAGGGGGCACAAGGCAAAGGGCTTCTCCCTTCTCCAGCTGAGTTTAAGCCATTGAAAATAAGAGAGCATGCTAGATAGAGAACAAATTGCCAATTTTCTCACTGCTAAAGCCCATTTGGAGAATGGGTTTACTAATAATGAACGTCAGGTGCAGAGAGACACCTGCCCTATTCTAAGCAATGGGTAATGTCGTCCTCCTCTAAAACTTGGGGTTTGAAATAGGAGAGTGGAATGTATGCTGTTTGTAGTCACCGAGCTCTCAGGAGAATGAGAAGATAAAAGGGCTGAATAAAATTACATGACTCCTTCTCCTGAGGGCAGAAATATCAGGACTGCTGTGCTACTGGAGATCCCTCTGCATGACAGGAAATATCAGGAGTGAGGATGAGACATTTCTGATGATCCCAACCCAAGATTATAGGCTATCCATGGGCAGAAAAGGTAGAATACTAGCCTTTAGAAGCTGATTGGAAGATAGCTTAAAGGCAGATGAACAGCCATAGCTGTTCACAGTCCAAATTTATATATATATATATATATATATATATATATATATATATATATATATATAATGTTTAATAATTATCCATTTTAATAAAATGTTTAATAAATTAAATATTATATATTACTTTTTGGACATTGACTGTGTCTAAGATCCTAAATGAATCTGCTGAAGTCTGGTTAAGTCTTGGGTATTTCCTGAGTTTGCACATGGACGTTTCATTACATATCCCTTTTTCAGACTTCTGCTTAATATAGTCTTTCAATAGAAACTGTCTTTGTAAATATATTTGTTAATATGCCCCTAGAAATGTCACTCTTTCATAAACAGATACTAAATTGCCTATTTTTCTTCCCAAAATGATTCTTCCTTTAAAATTAAAAGAACATTGGTTTTAGTGTTAAAAGCTTACAACCTCAACATGTGGTCTCAATAATCCAGCTGATATCTATTTGTCTTTGTAGATTCATTTATTCTTTTTCCTAAGGTGATTTCAGCAAATTGTGTTATTTGTAATAGAAGTTGCTTGTGTTTCTACCTTGGGCCCGAACAGATTGAGTAATAACATTGACAAATACCTTGAACTCACATAGCACCTTTCACCCTAAATCCTTTACAAATGCCAACTTATTGTCTCCGCAATATTCCAACTCTATCT